AACTTTGCCCCCGCTCCTATCGGGGATCCCACCTCACCTCTGCCGCACCCCAGCTCCACCTCTCCGGCGTAAGCGCCACCACCGCCGGGTAAACGCAGCGGTCGGCTGGTAAGGCTGAAGGCCTGTTTGGCGAGCACTTCCACGGCTTCTTGGACTGAGTATGGAGCAGTGTCTCGCCTCTTTATTTCTTGGCACTCGCTGGACCCTGTCAACGCCTGGCTGGTACCTGTCGTCGGCCCACATGAGGTGTTCCAGCCCCGCGGCCCCTGCTCTCCTCGTCCCCGCTGGCGCGGGGTGAATCTGCGCAACCTGCGGCCTCTGTGTGTGGCTCCCCGAACAGCTAATGCCGTGGACCCGCCGGCTCCTGTCAGGATTGGGCTGGTAAATGCTAGATCGCTAGCGAACAAAACGTTTATCCTGAAGGATTTCCTGACTTCCCTAGGATTGGATTTTCTCTGTGTGACTGAGACGTGGCTGACTGTTGGTGAGTCCAGTGCTTTCACAGAACTTTTACCTGATGATTGCTGCTATTTTAACTCCCCGCGGACGTTGGGTCGAGGAGGAGGAATAGCGACTATTAATAAAGAGTCACTATAAATGTAAGCAGCTAGGTAAGATGAAGTGTGCCGTCTGAGTGCCATAAATCGCTTCGTCCTGGAAGCGACCAGGGGCGGACCCGGAGACAGTTTCCTAAAGATATGGATATACACTATATAGAAATAGCTATACGTGCCAAACAGCATAGGAGAGACACTGATTTGTAACATGAAACTGCTTTATTCAGTTTTTTAACTGGTTTCAGTCACCTGGTCTGGATAGTCACCGGATAATTTGGCCCCTGGTAAAAACCTTCTGAACAATGAACACTGGAGGAAATCCAACTGGGAGGAGTTTCAGCTGGTTGCAATGTGCAATCCTCACCACTAGATGCCACTAAATCACACTAAATCTTACACGCTAAACCTTTAAGTTGAGTTTTGAAGTTCATTCTCAATATATATATATATAAATAAAAATCTAATCCCAAGGTCCATTTAGTGGCTGTTCTGGAGCTTTTGATCATATCACATAATCTTCATCTGCTGTGGATGAGGACAAAGACTGCTTTTAATGTAGACAAGAAGTTCAAAAAGCACACACATGGAGACATGAAAGTTTGAATAAACAGAATCGCTGGGCACCTCCATCTGTTGTTGCACTGTTGTTGAGGGACACTGTTGGAGGGGAGAGTGAATTAGATGCAACATACACTGGATATCTCTCAGGCCACCAGTGGTAGCTAATTCTGATTCATAGACCTGAAGTCCAGCTGTGCTTCCTGGAGGTCATTTCATCACAACATTTTGCTCAGAGAATTCAATAACTGTACTGAACAGTGTTCCATGTGATCTCTTTACTAAACATCTAAACAATCTCGCACCAGAGCAGAGCCAAGCTGAGAGAAGCTCAGTCTATGAGATCTGATTTTGCATGTCTGTGCTCCCCTATCAGTGTGACTTTAGTGCACGGGCAAAATTTCCAACAATAAGTATATTCCATCCAATATGAACTACTGTCTGAAGTTTTATTTGAAAGACAATAAGAACAAAAGTTTCAAAAGCAATGTTCGGAGAACTGCTGCATCCATCATTTGGGTTGATGGTAAGCTTGAGAGTAATTTTTTGCTAGGGATTTAATTTTATTTCAGCCTCTGTTTCCTCTTCAGCTTTTTTTTTCTTCCCAAAAAGCTTCCTCTCTTGTATAAAACAAAAAATTAGATTTATTTTTGATTTTCTGCCACTTTGTCTCTCCTGTTTTTTGTCTTCCTTTGTGATGCACAATGTTGAATATGCATTCTTTTTCAATGGCTTGTTATCTAATTCAGCGATTCACTGATGCTTCTCAGTACCTTACCAGTGATAATGTATAATAACACATTATAGCCTGTCAAAGCGTCAGCTTGTTATTGTATTGAAAGGATGTAGCATTAAGTGGCTGTCTTTTATGACGCTGTGACAAGATGTCAAGATATAAAAGCAGACTTGTAGGACTGATTAGGAAATTGACATTGCTGTCGGTTCAAATTGTTTGCTCGAGAGCCAAATACGGCGGAACAACATGGACTGGTAATTTTGGTGTCAGATGTGATTGGTTCTTTTGTCAATAAGGGAGCAGTTGTGCACACTGACAAAGAGCCTGACTGACAAGTGAATGAGAAGGAGGAGGAGGAGGAGGAGGAGAGACAGAGGGAGGGACGAAGACAACTTGCTTAGGTGGAATGGGCGACAGGAGTTTTATTCTACCGCTGTCTCAAACAGTGACTGATGAATTATTTATCGCAGCATGAAAGTGTAAAAATACTCTCATTACTCGATTCTTATTCTATGGTACACATCCTGCACATATACAAACATAGAAATGCACACGGACTCATACACACAGAAAAGCTAACCCCCTTTAGCCGCCTTGGGAAGCCATTAAAAATTAAATCAACATAGAGCTGTGGTGAGACGAGGTCAAAGAATACATATTGCACACACGCACACACATATGCGTGCACGCACAGAGGTTACACACCACGCGCAGCATCATCGATTTTCTGTTTAAGACCGCAAGAAACAATCAGCACACAATTTACTATTCAGCAAACACTTATTTGAACGCAGAGACGGTAGATAAAAACAGTTTTTCAAAGTGAGATAAAAGAATCTAAACAGACTCTTGTGACTAAATAATTCTGCGTTGAAGCTTTGATTCAGTGTCTTAGAATTTACAATTCATGGTTTAATTAAAGTCTGATGAATTAAGCAAAGATGCTATATAACAAAGATACAGGTAAAGACACTATATAACATAAGAGTTAGATTTGACCATTAACCTCTGCATGATCAATGTGTGTGTTGTAAGAAAAGCACATGATAACACACAGGAATCCCTAAATGTGCCCTTTGTTGTGGTATTCATCACGTTTATCAGACGAACCTGACTCACCTCCTTTTGTCAAACATACACATCTATGCTTTGTCTGCCAGGCCAACATATTTTATATGTCTACACACAGTGCCAGCACCGACTATCTAGGGACCACAACCACCAGCTGTGGAAACACGAGCTAATCTGGCTGTATGCAAGATAAAAAGAAGGGAAAAAATGAAAATGACAAAATAGTGAGGAAAAAATATTAAACAATCACGGAAATGTTTGCCCAGAGAATGTGTTTGGAAATTAGACATGTTGGCATTCAGCTAAACAACAACACCAGAAAAAGGTGTTAAATCATGAACACCCAAAGGTGCACTGTAAATCTAAAGCCCTGTTCCCACCAAGCAGTACCGTTCAGTTCGGTACGCTTTTTTTTTCCTGTTTCCACTGTGAAAAGTTGTGGATGGTACCAATGGAACCGTTCTGTACTGTCCCCATTTTTGGTCTCCCCTCTGTTGGGGTACCTAGCACACAGATCTGGTACTAAAAGGTGGAGCTGTGAACACTGCAGTCTGTTGATTGGTTGACAGCGAATGGTCTCTCTGCTCAGGGTTGAGCTGTGGCTGGTTTTGAGGCTCATGTAACCAGTGTTCATACTGTGGAGACTTTTAAATATATCAGTAGACTGAAACGATAAAATGAAAGGAGGTTTTGCTGACTCTTGCAGCAGCTGCAGTCTGAGAAAAATATTTCACTAGGCCGACTGCAAGCAACTTTTAAGGTGGAACGTTAACTTGTTATGTTGCTCAATGCATGAGTTGACGATGTGAATCCATCGACACACCTTAAATTTCAACATGACAACTTTGACCATTACTTAAGTTTTTATAGTCTCTCTTAGATGACACACACTTTTAATAATGAATGGATCTTGAAGCATTCAAAAATATATATTAATATCGACCGGATTGTGTTTTTTATAAAGAAAAAAGAAAGCATCGTGGAGCGTCGCTCCTGTGTGCTCCAGCAACACTTAACCCCAGAGCTTGCCTGAGAAGGACTAAATGCACAAACCTGCTATTTTTAAATATCCCATCGAGAGAGATTCTCACTGCAGCCTGTTTTATTTTGTTTGTATGTTTATTACTGTGTTTGGGCTTCCTCATTCTGCAGATGATAAACAAGGTGCAGATTGATAAAGGAGGAAATACAGTGAGTGCTGGACAGAGCAGTGAGTGACAACAACCCTGCCCACATTTAAGAGTGCTGTTTGCAGTGGAAACGCTAGGGTCTAGGTACCATGTCTGAAGGGTTACTTCTGGTTCCAAAGGTACCATACCGAAAGTGTTTGGTGGAGACTTGGCTTAACAAGTTGATCTTACTCAAAAACATCTGAGAAACTAAAGTAACGATAACTATTGATCTTAAGTTATGTCTAATTGATAAGCTGACTTAAAATTTAGTTGTGTTAATTTAATTTTGTAAGTCACTGAAACTTGAAAATGACAAGTACAATTAACTCATTTTCTCTAAGTGTCAGCAACTTCAGTAAACCAAGCTAGTCTAATTTAACTTGATCACAGCAAAGAGGATTTTGCATACGATGGAGTTAGGACAAGTTCTGTTTCGTTAACATGTTAAAGAATATACAAATATGGCTGACTACTTTGCAACCAGCAGAATACAGATATATAGCAAAGTAAACTTGATATACTGATGTTACTAATACTTAGAAAGATTAAGTTATTTTCACTTGTCACTTAAGTTGCCACAACTTCACAAAATTAAGTAAATACGGCTGATTTTTAAGTAAATTTAATAATTAGTTACGAAGTAAAAATAGCTTAAGATTAATAGTTATGTTTACTTACCTTTTTCAAGGCAATCTGTTTCCTTGATTGTTCTAAGTAAGATCAACTCGTCAGATGTTACACTATACTAATTGATTTCATGTCTGTGCAGAAACGTGTCGACTGATCAAAGTGCATTTATGGATGTGCATGTGGATGAGCACATTTATGCATGTGTGCTCTTGCGGCATTGCTTATGCAACCCTGAGGCTTTTCACAGACATGTCATCAAGGAAGTCGTCTCCTCACCATGATGTTGTTGTGGATAAAGCCCTTGCGGTAGCGGGCAGGCTTCAGGTGTGGGTACTCCTCAGTGCTGGTGACCTGGATGTTCCACACACGTCTCCAAGCCTTGTATAGCTGCAGGTGAACTGGGTAGACGCCTGAGTGGTGAGGGGCCACGGCGTAGCCCATGTCCACTGGGATGTTGTGCTCCTGGAGATGGAGGACATACATACACATGGCAGACACATGTGTGAGGGTTATGTACATAAACAGAAGTTATAGCTTATATATACGTTTACAGCTCTGACAAAGGACCCGGTAGGACATAAACACACAAAGCCCACCAGGCTGACCTTGTCGAAGAAGTGCACGGTTTGCGCTGTGTTTGTTACGATGCTGGCCTTCGGGTTGGAAATGAGGAAAAAAAAAAAAGTTTGTGTGAGCATGTGGGAGTGTGAGGGTGGATGGTTGCTGGGTGCATCTTGCAGACTGATGGTGTTGTCCTTCGCTCTGACACACACCTACACACACTGTCAAAGCTAAGCATCAGCGGTCAGGGGATGAGGGAGTGGAGTATGTATATGTGTGTGTACAACAGAGGTGAGGGATCACACTTTATGATCACATTCACCTTCAACAACATGAACCAGCTCTCCTCGCCGTATTGTATGTGGGACACGGCACTCCAGTAGGCTCATACAAATCATTTCAACACACACACGTACTAACAAAACAGGAAAACAAGGCAGAGCAGGGCAACAAAAGCGCTCAACCTTGTGGACTTCAGATTAATCCAAAGACATTAAAGAGGGCTCAGGTGTGCCCATCAAAATAAGTGCATCACTCCCCAACAGGGATGTTTGGTTTTAGAAAATGAGTACATGAGGGTAAATTTTGTTAAAGCATTCTTATTGCTCATGCTGACATAAGTGGTACAACTATTCTCCCAACCCTGCCTCTTAAAAATATGTTCATATGCATGTAATTAGCCTTCACGAATATGTTCTGCAGGAAGTATAATTTTACCCTGATTATGTTTTCAATTAACATAACAAAAACATATTCATATTGAGCACATCTGTAAAACACTCACTGTCAACATCTGTCACAGGGCTGTCATGATATACACACTCAGCTGAGGTGATGTTGTGGCGCAATAACTGGCTAGCAACTACAACAGTGTGTGTGTGTCTATTACTGCCATACAAAACTGTATCGGAGGAGATGACAGATGAGAGCAAGACACTCTACCTTAGCCTCAAAAAAAGTTTTCAGATTTTCTATGGGCTGCCCTTTAATAGTTGACCAGAAAGGTCATTAGTTGGCAAGATTACTTGGTCGCTTAGTCGCACAAAAAAAAAAAAAAAGCAAACATGGAATTCTATTAGGAGCTGCACTTTGTAAAAAATAAATCAAAACCTATATGACTGGACCATGTAGGAATTTAATTTAAAAGGACAGAAAGAGGAAGAGGCCATGCTCAGCAGTCAGACAGATATCTTTCCCTTCTTCTGTAGATATTCAGTCTGATAAACACGGAAAAGTTGATCATGTTAGTGCAGGGCTACCCAGAGCTTTACATCTGTCCCACGGACAATAGGCCTTCACACTTATAAACAACACCTGGAAGAAGATCAGCTCTGCACAAGAGTAGCGCCTGACCTCTTGTTTTCCAGGAGGTTAAAGACATGGTACATGTACGGCCCCTAATTTCCAGGGCTGGTACCTGCTGTTATTCCACAGGCTAGTTAATAACATGTCGGGCAGGAAATCCAAAGTGTGGGATCATTTTGAGAAGGTGAAGGACGAACCCAAGGTGATATGTAAACTCAAATTCATTGGTCGACTACAAACATGACGTATCATCTGAAACATGGAAGTAGCTACATGCCCATTAGCCCATAGCGTCATTAACAGGCGGCTCGCTCAGTGTGTGACGTGCACTTGTAGATAAAATATAGGCCTATATTAATGAAGGTTCATTAGTACGGTTTTGTATTTCTCTGTAATGTAGCACAGTGTTAACAATGTTACTGATACTATTCTTTCTCACACCTTCAACTCAAACCATTGTGTTGCCCCGCTCAAAATATATCATTTAATAATTACATTAATATCGTAAACATGCAGGCGACTAGTCGACTAATGGCCCTAAATGACGACTATTGGTCAACTAGGAAAATTCTTAGTCAGGGGCTAAGATTGTCATTTAATTATCATTTATGAGACTCCGCCCTCTGCCTGTATTTTCTTAATATCTTCTTGTTTTTTGTGTTCGGAACAAATATAGTGAAACAAAAAGCCAAAGAAGAGTGAATCTGGGGTTGGATGTAACTTTGACTTCTGTTGGCAAGTGCCTTTACAAACAGTAACCAACAATCCTGCATAGTATACCTTTAAACCGAACAACATGAAAGACAAATGACATTATCCCGCCTTACAGTATCTACTTCCTGTGGTGGCGGAAAGTCACACAAATGTTTTAAATAAGCGTAACAAGGCAAACAATGCAGACATTTTGTTTCCTGTAAAGCATGTTCTTTGTGTTGTATTATTCTACTCTAGCGCTTTGACCTGCAAACACCATGCGTGCAATCTGCTGCGGCAAAAGAAATAACAATCACTAACAGTAACAGACGTCCTTGAAGAAAATGCAATCACGGGAAGCGAGCATGATTAAAAGGACACACAAGAAGAAAAAAGCTAAAGCAGAACAGGCAGCTGCAAGAAACGTGTGTGCATGCGTGCGGTGCATGCGTGTGCATCCATCTCACCAGGGCGAACTCCTTGTTGAGGACCATCTGCTCCAGCAGTGAGGACTCGTTGTGGAAGAGGTGAGGCTGCATGTGGCTCCACATGTGGGGGAACCACCAGAACTCATCCACATACTTAAGTAGTAAATCGTCTCCCTCGTCCTCCTCCACCGTGCCTGCACGCACAAAAACACACACACCCGCGCGCACACACAAGGACAAAAGGACAAGGAAACAACATGTATAACTGGATGCTTCATGAGGATTCAGAGTACATTTGAAAATTGTTGCTTTATAAAACTTCTCGCCCAATTAAGGTAAGAGTATCGCCAAGCAACTAGGTTGTTTTAAGGTCACGTTGCTAAATAAGATGGCAGTCTGATACCATGGTGATGGAAAGTCGTACATAGCAATAATAGATGCTGTGGTAAATTATGTTCTATTCTGCATCAGATGTCTTGTAATTATAATTAGGTTCAGTCCCACCACATGTTTTTCCTTTCAGTGTTCCTTTGTTCTCTGGCTGCAGATTTATACAGTTTAACTAGAAAATCAATAAAATACACCCTTGGAACCACAACAGAGCTCAACGCACAGCGCTATGTCACCATATCACACATATATGCCTTGATTAATATCACTCCATAACTAAGTATCTACAGATTGTATGAGATAAAAATATTCTTTTCAGTGATGACCACTGTGCTGCAAGTTCATCCTTTCTTTATTAAATTATATTTGGTCGTTTATTTGCTGCTGACTTTGCGTGCAATAGTCTTTTAAAAATATTTTTGGTACAAAATCTAAGACTCTAAGTATCTAGTCTCATATCACAATGTCAATATATCTGTATTTCGCCCAGCCCTAAGGTAATAATTTAGATTTAATCATAATGTAGTAACAATAAGCTAATCTTGTTTACTCAGACTGACACTGACACTGACACTGGCATCTGAATATAAATCAAAAAGATCATGTTATATTATGTTAATTGATTTGTATGACCATTATTTTTTAGTTGATGGATTGTGCTAGCTGCAAACAAATTTTAATGTGAAATTTTTAAAACCTAGCTTAATCGCGGATCTTATAGCCGTCTGTCGAGTTATTCTAAAACACAGGAAGACAACAAAGGCCCCAGAATTGAAATAATGGGTTAATGAAATGGTGGAAATAGCACCTTATGAAGTAGAATAAATGGCGATCAGGAGAAAGGAGTATCACCTTGGGATTCATGTCTGAATGGAAGATAAGCCTATATAATCATGAATTTATTATATGATTATGTGACCCTGTAGAGTCCTTCTGAACTTATTTGTTAGTTTTTCTTTATGTACTGGAGTCCACCTCCACATTATAAAAAAAATATGTGCTTTGTATTCTTGTATCCCTGGAAAAGAATATACGTACACCATGTTGCGAGCCTTTCAAACCAATGAAAACCTGAATTATATTAAAAAAAAATAGTTGCATCATCCTTACACTTCATCACAAAACCAAAAAATAACACTTGAGGATGTTTAGATCCACAAGATTTGTGCATGACCTTTGGCATGTCAAAGGTTTAAGTGAAAAAAACATTTAACTAACGTTCACTTTTTTGAGACACATACATATAGCTTGGTGAAACACAACCTGCACTACCTACGATATCGTCGGTTCAGATATGGAATGCCAAGGCACTCCTTATCAAGAGCTCATTATCCTTTTAATTATAAAAGGAAATTATAATTACCATTCATCATTACATTTAGATTCAAGATGTCTAATTATTTCTTGACATGGTTGTGTAGGTACATACATATATATGTATGTATACATGTATATTTTTTTCTGATTCTCATTTTGTGTGCTTCTCGCTGTATTTTTCTAAATTATGTTATGTTAGCTTGGTTTATTTTTTTCTTCCTTCCTTCCTTTGTTACTGTTTGTTTTTCGCCTTAAGTTGAGGGGCGGCCCGTCGTATAAGCCACTGGCTACCACAGTCTTCCATCACCTGGATTTTATGCAGTCTTATGTGTGAACAATAAATAAATAAATAAATAAATAAATATAGCTCTTAACAACATTACCCCAAAAGCACATTTTAAGAATTGGCATTTTAAGCATCTACACAAACCCAATGGAATTAAATATGTGATGTCTGAATCATTCATACAAAACATCAGTCTAGATTATTAAAACAAGTCAAGTTATTTATATTTGTTATAGTACTGTGTATGCCTGGCACTGGTATGCATGTTTGAATGGAAAGCGTAATAAATAAAACACACCTGTGTGGTAGAACTTCCCAGAGAAGCCGAGGTTGAAGGTAAAGTTGGAGATCTGAGAACGAAGCTGTTTCTGAGTATCGAGGAGAGCCTGCAGACACACAGACTGACAGTTAGATAGATACATAGATAGATAGATAGATAGATAGATAGATAAGAACATTAGTGACAGAATCAGTGTATCAGGTATGTCTATCCCCAGCCTGCACGTGTACAGATAAACAGCTGCTGTCTCTGCTTCAGCTCTCATGTCTCTCTGCTGTATATTGAGGTGAACTCTGGTTCCTCGGAGAACTATCATGAGTGCTGCGTGTACTCATCAGTGCTCATCCTATGGCTCGACAATGGCAGTCGGCAACATGCTGTTACAGCGCGTTCATTAGTTTGTTCTGTTTTTCCCCGTGTACTAAGTGTTCCAGTGGCTGTTCCTGTCCTTAAAGTTACCTCAGTCTCTGGTTTCAATGCTTGAATCAGGATTTTCTCCACTTATTTAATGACTTCATTAGTTTACTGGCCTTTAAACAAAGACTCTGTAATGAGTGTTAACTAAAGAGAGTTGCACACTCGCACACGCAGTCACACACACCGACAGTAATGCGAGTTAATGAAGGTCAGTGCATTAGTAGCCTCTGGAGGGTGGACTAATAACCCCCGCACACACTCCTCCCTTCTCATCATTCTCTCCATCCATCCCTAACAGTACCGAGTGAAGCCCTGCATCCAGACTCTCCCTCTCTTTCGCACTCGCCGCCTCCTTTCTTTCTGATTCTCCCTCTATTCTTCCATCTTACCGCTTCTGAGAACCTGCAGTCGCCTCTCTGCCCCCCTTCCCCATTTGTCTTCCCCCTCCCCCCCCCGCCCCCCACCCTTCTCTGAACCTCCATCTCTCCCTCGCTTGCTCCGTGAAAATGTCACATTCTCAGGAGACGGGGCTGTTCTAATTTGAAAGGAAGGCTGAAGCAGCATGGAGGAAAGATCGCTCTCTCTCCCTTTCTATAACACTCTCCCCTTGCTCTTTCTCTTGCACTCTCCCACCCCGTCTTCTTGCCATAGTTGCACTTCTCACCGTTTGCTCCCACACTAATATTCTGTTTATTTATGAAAGTTATAATTCCCTGTATATTTCAGTCTACTGGGTCTTTCTATCGGGCTGCACGCCACGTCTCCATTACCAATCTTTGCCATGCTGCTTTTAATCGATCCCCAGGAACCCTGCGTGATTTACGAGACCTGAGCAGCTGATGTCAGAGCAAGGAATCAGTTCCAGGCAGTCTCTCTCTTTCTCTCTCTGTCTCTCTTCACCCTCTCTCCTCCTGTGTGCAGTGCTTAAAGTGGGCCGGTACTCACTGGTACTCTGTACTGACACTTATACATTTCACTCCTTGGTGTACCAGAACTTTTTCCTGTGTACCGGCACTTCTCTGCCGTTACTCTTTAATGCCCTCAGCATATCAGGTTCTCTGGGTGATTCATAGTGATCCTAAACAAACTGCATTACCCAGGAGGCACTGGGAGCACTAGGTAGGCTACCCAGGCGGCAGTACGTGATTCTCAACTGTTTCCGTTCTTGCCTGCCTGCTCCTCTCTGTTTATCGGTGTGTCCACTGGTTACCAACCTGGGGGTCCCAACTCCCATTAGGGGTTGCAAAGGCTCCACTGAGGGTTGCATATTGTGTATATAGACATATGTATGCAATAGAGCTGTGTGTCAGCATTTGATTCATTTTTCTGTGGAGAAAACTGAATAAAATTTCTAAATTTAAGATTATTATGTAGGACAGTGGTTCCCAACTGGTCCAGCCATAGGGTCCAGATTTCTTAGTCACTGGTTCAAAGTCCACACAGTTTAATACATACAGCATCATAACTGCTTTTGGCCATGGCGTCAAGCTAGTTTGCTGTCTCTGTGAAGTAGCTGTCCGTTATCCACTCACTCTACTGCAGGAAATGGACTTGAAAATATGAGCTTTGTGCTGGAAATTCACTGTACTTCAAAATATAATATAATAATACTATAAACTTAAAAAAAAAATCTCTCAGGATAAGGGCACAGTGAAGACCTGCACAACACAAGCTGTATTAACAGGGCTTCCACTCTCTGCTAAACAGCCTCATCCTGCATTAGAAAAGTACGGAGTTAAAACAACCAAATAGCTAACAGAGCAATGGCCAAGTGTCGGGGAGATATAAACACTGAATTAGTCAAAAAAGAAGACTACCACGTGATTGTTAAAAAATAAATGACAGATAAGCATATACAAGTTCATAAAAATATCAGAAAAACTCATCTCTGATGCAGTAATCACAGGAAAAAATCTGCTCAAAATCTCTCATTAACACAAGGGTTGCCCCCTAATAGTCGACCAAACGTAAGTTGACCAAATTGTAGGCGCTGTACCTTGTCAAAATAAATCAAAACCTATGTGAGTGGACCATGTGGGAATTTAATCTAAAAGGACAGACACATTAAGTTGCCACTTTACAAAACAATCACAGTCGACTGATTTATGTCCCTTCTCTGCTTTACATCTGTCCCACGGACGATAGGCCTACACACTTATAAACAGCACCTGGAAGAAGATCAGCTCTGCACTCTGCAACCTGACACCTGCCTCAAAAAAGGAGTAGCGCCCAGCGCCCAACCTCACGTTTCCATGGGGTTAAAGACACGGCATGTGTACAGCCCCTAATTTCCAGGGCTGGTACCTGCGGTTATTCCACAGGCTAGTCAATAACATGTCGGGCAGGAAATCCAAAGTGTGGGATCATTTTGAGAAGGTGAAGGACGAACCCAAGGTGATATGTAAACTCATCTTCACTGGTCGACTACAAACATGACGTCATTAACAGGCGGCTCGCTCAGTGTGTGACGTGCACTTGTAGATAAAATATAGGCCTATATTAATGAAGGTTCATTAGTACGGTTTTGTATTTCTCTGTAATGTAGCACAGTGTTAACAATGTTACTGATACTATTCTTTCTCACACCTTCAACTCAAACCATTGTGTTGCCCCGCCCAAAATATATCATTTAATAATTAAATTAATATCGTAAACATGCAGGTGACTAGTCAACTAATGGCCCTAAATGACGACTATTGGTCGACTAGGAAAATTCTTAGTCGGGGGCAGCCCTGGTTTCCAAAAACCTGCAGTTATCACATACACTATTTGAATTACTTGAATAGTTTATTAGACACAACAGAACTTTAACAGTCAAATCCTACGTTGCTAAACACAGGCCACGATGCACCTTTTAGCAGTGAAGAGTCCGTTGATGTAATGTTAGCTTCAGCAAAACCTGCATGTCAGTGATGAGATGACCATTTCTCTTAAGTTCTTTTAAGAGTAGTTTATCTGCCACTAGCAAACTGACTCCTTTTGGTTCCCACCCCCACCCTGATACACACACCAACATGTGCATAAGGGGAGCACCGGTCCTTGTTTATTTCCACTTGGAACACTGCTTGTCTGTGTGCATGTTTGTGTGTGTGTGTGTCCCAAACTAACAAATACACAGACACATGCACACAGTGTCTTCATTAGCTCTAATCTAATGGTGTTGAAGATGGCTGCATGCTGACAGATGTGCACAGCTCCCTAATCTGATCCCCTGTCTCCTCTGTTATGACATGCTCTACATCTTTCACAGACACACACACACACACGCACACACACACACACACACACACACACACACACACACACACACACACACACACGTACACAAACATGTGGATACAAAGACTTAAAAATTAAATTAAGTTTGTAGCTGAGTGCTTTGCATTGTAACTCAATATACACTCCCCGATGCACTTGGTCGAAATGCATTATTAACGTGTGTGTTGGTATCTGTGAGAGTCGGCGGAGGTGTGTGTCCAAGTGTGCAATATATTAGTTTAAACACCTCATTTGTATTCTGCTACCTAACATCCATAGCAGAAAAGAGAGGAGCTCCGCAAATGACCAATTTTTGTGATGCGTCAGTGAAACTAAAAGCCACAAATGACCCTACAGCTGCTTTTGCATGTTTTAGCATTTTTACTATCACAGCGAGCATTTTGTCACTTTTATGTCTTTCTTGGGAAAGTTTTGTTTTCATTGTGCAGTAATGCCACCGTGAGCAGAGAGCCATTTTTAAAGCTCTCCTTGCTGACAAATCCTGAACACCAAAAAGCAAACATTAAAAAGGGGCAATGTGTGAACTCGGCCAATTCTCGCACTTAAGAAGTTGTTGTTCAGCTGCCAAATCTTACAGAGAACACACAAACAATTCAAGGAGAATTTCAAAAACACTATCTGTTTGCAACTGCAGCACTGATTATGAAACTTTCACAGGCAACAAATTGCACACGGTGATGGATCAGCTTTCTCAAGCTTGTTTCAAGTCTCTGCAAAGTGGTTTTCAAAACCACTCAAAGATGTAATAGGCCACATTTAAAAGATAAACTTCATAGTTGTTCTATTTCAGTTTGACTGACAAGTATAATGATGGGGGAGATGATGAAGCAGACACTACTGACGAGTAACCTATTGTAAAATTTCATAATAACTTTTTCATTCTCAACACTTTGATTAATTTTACCTTTTGAAAGCCTGTTTGATATTTGTTTTGTGTTACTCTAGGGCTGTGGTGGTGAAGAGGGACTTAAATTAACTTTAAATTTTCTTTTCTTTCAACTTTTAAACTAAACTTCTAAAGATAACTCATTTAGCCTGCAAACTAACAGGTATCCCTACTCCTAACCTATCTGACTGTATCACTTCATCTGTGATCCGCAAAGCACTCATAGTCACTCATGACCCAGATGATCCACTCAACCAGTACTTTATTCCCCTTCCCTCTGGATGTAGGTGTAGACCATTGGTTCCCAACTGGTCTAGCCACAGGTCCAGATTTCTCCTTAGTCATTAGTTCAAGGTCCACACAGTTTAACACATTCAGCATCATACTTGCATTTGGCCATGTCGTCAAATAGCTGTTCGTTGTTCCCTCACTCTACAGCAGGAAACTAAGCTGGAAATCCAGATGCCCCGCCCCTAGCAAATTCGAATTTGCTCTGCACGGTGATCTGGCCCCGACAAGCAGAG